GCTGATATGCGGGTGATTGATAGGCGCTCCCCCGGGACTCAGTATCGGCCGTGTGCAGTTATGTCAGCAGGGAATTGGAAAATATGTAGTGATAACGGACGTGAGTCGGAACTGCGTCGAGACACCAATGGAATCTGGCACAACATTTCACATGATGGATTGAGCTTCATTCCAGCTCAGTAATTCCTTAATCCAGCCAATTTTCTTTGAAATGCCACACAGAAACAAACGAGAATTATCACAGGAGAGATAACTGTGATATAAACGATAAAAATTTCCACTGAGTAACTGACTTCTCTGAAACGTCGGTAAGTATCTACCAGAATAGACGGTGCAACATCCCGGAAGATACAATACAATCTTTCCGGGCGATCAGCCTCGTCAAATGGTTAAGCAATAAATCCGACGTGCACATCAGAACCCTGATGATGGGAACAGAGATGGTACCTGAAACGTCGGTTTTATTGTTTAACTTTTTGACACGGCTGTCGTCCGAGAAGATTTTTTTTTTTGAGTTACGTCACCGTGAAAGTTTCAAATCATGTATCTCGGACGACAGTCAACTTCGCCAATTCTTCATTCTTAGATCGTATAAATTATTGTCTTATATTTGTATATACGTGGTCAGCTCCATAGTAAGCACGTCTAGACGACGAACAGTCAGAACTGATGCCTTCGTAGGTAAGTAAATTAAAATCCGATAATCCCGCAAGAAGAATACAGAGTGCAGTTACTGCTTGCGTATCATCTGTGCTCCTGGCAACAACATTCTTTCAAGTGGCTAGTAGTGCCTTTGTATCCCAGTCGATTACCAGTTCTGTGTAAGCCTTCATTTACAGTTGCAGACAAAAGTTGTAAATTCTACGCGTACGCTGGGCGGGCCTAATAAATTTCAAGTGCACTGTTGTGTCACGCACAGCGTGAAGATTATTTACACCAGCGCACGAGCTGGAACAGATCCGCAGAGCTGTCTCCAATTAGGGAACAAGTGCTGTTCTCTGACGGCTTCAAATTTAAACATCCTTCACTGATCGATCGTCACGCTAATGATCAACACACTAACCGCTCTACAGTGTCTAAAGGCTGATCGCATTGAAGAGGATGAGATGAGTGCGAGGCACCTTGGTAGACAAGGGAGGAACACATCAGATATTTATTGGTAAACTTGAAGGGAAGACGCCACCTGAGTGGCCTAGACATACAAGGGATGATGATCCTGAACTGGATCTGTCAAGACGTAGGCTGGGATCAACTGACCAAGGGTACGGTCCATGTGAACACAAGGAATAAACCTTCGCGTTCGACAAAATGCGGGAAAAGTTGTCAGCGATTACCGGCGGCTTGTACCGTGGAATTGGTGTTAGCTAGCACTGAATAAACTTCTTAGTCTGAAGAAGAATACATCCTGGCGTGGAGTACTGGCTCCACTGTTAAAGACAAGAAATAATCGCGGAGATTTACCTCAATCCATCACGTACGCGTCGCGACACTATGCAAATACCAAATCCCTCTCGAAACTGACATGCAGATAGATTCAATTCATGCACGCTTTCAGTCGCCGTTGTGTTCCGCGAATTGCAAAGTCATTCTGTGCATCACGTGCTTCAAGGCTCCTTTATAAATCCCTGCACTTCGCAATTACAGACTTAACAATTACCAGAGACCGCAAAGCGGGAAGAGTTAAACACTAAACCCCGTGCGTTTCTACTGGGTGTTTAACCGTTTAAAGCCGAAGCTCGTTTAAACAATAACATTTCAGTCCGCACCGCAATTAAAACACCATATTTAACCATTACAAAGATTAATTTGTTAACGTACTTTAAAGAAATAATCGCTGTTAACAATATAAATAACACGAAGCATATAAATAAAAATCCAAAATAATCGCTGTTAACAATATAAATAATACGAAGCACATAAATAAAAATCCAGACTTGTTGACTGTTAAAGCAGGTGGTAGATATAATGACCAATAAACACACACGTAGACTTGCACATAATTTCGCTGAACAGAAGTGAAACAATGTTTAGCAATGACGGAACAAGGGTTCTGCAAAACCACCCGGAATCATTCTGAAAAAAAGAATTGGCACCTAACGCAAAAGCGATTACAGTTTCTAGCTCCTGCATCGTATCGGTTAGTCTACACGCATGACAAGACTGCGGAAGTAGTTGCCGCTGGAGCACGGCAATCTCAGCATGTTGCACTGTTTAGTAATTTTTCGTATTTCTACAGCAGAATTACGATTTAAGAAAATTTTAAGTTATGAATAGGACAGAATTTTTTAAAACTTCAATCCAACAGAATTTTTGAACATTATGGAATTTCTTAAATTTTTGAAAATTTTAAAGATTTTTAAAAAATTCAAAAGAAAATTTGAAAGCACTGAAAACATGGGATCAATTTCGAATTCTTAAATTGTACTACATTATTTCAGCTTAGATCAGCGTTTCGTAACTTTAGGCAGTGTCGCCCTGTACACTACAGCTCTCCCCAAGGGAGCGTTTCTCAGAGCAAAAACAAGTTCCTTGCCCGGAAGAAATTTGTAACTTTTCCAGTCAAAGCTTTACCAGCAACGTACCAGCGCCATTTAATTTTAACTTCGAAAGGATTCACTCTGTTACAACTGACAAGTCTTTCAAGTTAAAATAAACGAAGAAATGTTCTCCTTCATTTAAATTTCACGCATTTGTAAAACTCGCAACTATTTTTCGTGACTAACTTTTTAAAGCGCTACATACATTTTGGAACAGCCTTTAAAACATGTCGTAGATACTACTCTCGGATCCGCTGCTGGCTTCTAAATATTTCAGAGCTAATCAAGCTATATGGAGCCGGGCACAACGCATGCGCGGTAGAGCTCGCCCAAACAGATTCTTCCAGCAGCAGTGGGGCCATCTCACTTCATACACCACAATCGTTCTCTAACATTTAAAGAAAATACTTCAGCCTGTAAGCTGGCCACACACTAATCAGATCGCAATTTAAGTCACAAAGGGATTAAAACTACTCATCGCAAGGCACCTGCAACTGGAATAACCATGAAGATAAAAGCGATGTGTTCCTCTGGAACTTCGGGTTTCGTCTAAAATATATTACAAGCCGTCACAGTGCAGAAGATAACAGACAGAGACTTACACATGGCCTTGAGAACGTCAAAACAACAAAATATAAAATTAATACATCATATACGTACAAGTACAATGTCTACATGCTTTGAGGTTAAATACTGTTACGTACATAAATATCTGCGACATCGGATTGGCATTTTGTTTATAATAAGAAAATATTCTATTAAAACAAAGCCACCTCCTGAAGACAGAAAAAAATTAATCTCCCCCCCCCCCCAGGCGATGGTAAAACACTAAATCAATGCCTTGTGTCTGCACACAAATTAAAAAGTTGTCAGTGGAACCACGGTTCCGGAGAATTTGACGTAAATACGTCTATACGGAAAGGAAGTTTATTTATTGGTTTTATTCTAAATATTTCCTTTATACATCCTTTACAATCGAGATAAGTTTGATTAAGACATTGCTTATTTAACTTGAATTAGTTACGCTTAAGATGGGTCTGTGGTAGCTGAATGTAATGTAAGGTAAGGTAAAGTAATGTAATGTAATGTAATGTAACTATGTAGGTAACCATTGTTGTTTATTTGTTGATAAACAGATGACGTTTCCTAGGTAACATAACAATGAAGTTACACTTTTTCGTTTTCATTTTTCGTAACACTTTTTGCCGAATGACACTGACCCTAAAATATAGACGTATTTACGTCAAAAAAAGGTCTCAAAAATCAACGAAAAAGAAAATCCCATGGTCGTGATAGTCGAGAAATATCCCTACAGATTTTAACGTATTTCTTCGTCGAAACCCTAAGCGTGGGTGTAATAAATGAGACATATCACATGTTGTACTTAGACACATCTTCCATTCTCCCGAAAGGACGCCAAGTACCGAGGCAGAAGTAGCAAAGGTACCCGAGTCCCGCGCTAATTATCGTCGCAAGACAAGATGAACGAGTGTTCCACGTGTTCTACGCTCTCGTCTCGTCTACTTTTTGAGTTATAATATCCCCTTGTTAACCTCGTACCGGCACAAGACGATGTTTCATTGTGCATGCAGTACCACTTTGCATGCAGAACAGTCAGGGGACCGGCGCTACTTTAAAATTTAAATATCTAGTAAACAGAGGCAGGCAATATCCACAGACAACATTTTTATGTGCGACTAAAAGGTCATTCTAAACAGACAGACAGAGGATTCGGAAACAAACCTTCGGCAAGTTCTCTTTCCTGACCTAAACAAAACACCGTTTAGGGAATCTATTAAGGTTCAATCCGTTAAACCTTTAAAACTAAGCGGTAACTTTATATATCACCTAATTTAAGATTCAACAGCTGGATTTTGTTCACAGAGTTTATTTACGTGTTCGGTATGACTCTCAGAAGAAACGGTAATTATGCCTCTGAACTACATCAACCGATTCCAATGACAACGTTTTGCGTTTTCTTTGAGGTACGAACCGACTTTCTAAATATTATTTATGTAAGTACGCATCCATAATAAAAAAGGGCTTACTTCACAGTACCCAGAGACCAAAACATTCCCTTAGTATACGCCATTAACTTGCGGATTGTAGGAAAACAAACGTTTTTCATAAGTACGCCAAAACAATTACGACAACGGATCTGATACAGCGAGCTACAAAGTACTACCGCTGAAAAATAATGTTTTTAGTACGGATAGTACATGTTTCCTTATCTTCTACTCCTTCCAACCCCTATGACACACTTGCCATTTATTTCTTGCGGAACGCACAGATTCCTCCCGACTACTGTGCGCAATAAAGCCAACCTTATGATTTAGTAGCTGGAACATATCACATGGACTAGGGACACGAACATGTTTGGTTCACACTGTTATGGAAACATCCGCCAGAGTGCAATTAGTGCGATAAGTGCCTCTGCACTGTTTTGGTGTTGTAGTGGCTCACCTTTCTTCCGGCGTTCGATGCTGATTCCCTGACCGTCCTCTCTACGCCACATCAACTTCGGTGTGGGGAAGCCGTCAGCCTTGCAAGTGAGGGTGATATTCTGGTTTTCTCGAACGGCCACCGACGACTGCGTGCTGTTGGCGTCGAGGATATTAGGTGGCACTAAAAAAATCACCAGCAGAGGTCAGAGACTGCCGTCGTTTGCAACAGAACAAGAATGACATAAATTCTGACAGGCACTCTCTGTATCTAGATGAGTATCTTCTGGGTAGATCCACCGTTTAATCTGGTAGATACTGCCCAGAAATTAGGAGATGCTTACTGCCTCAACACTCAAGGCGATCGTCCTGATGATGGCGGCAGTAAGCATTGCCGAAACGTTGGTGTTTTTCTACGATACTGCGCGGAGCATCATATTGGATGACAGTCGTCTTCATACACCCGGCTGTGAGATCCTGAAATCTCACTCTGTATTTAAATTAGCGTAAAGTGAACTTGAAGATGACACAGTGATGTACGAAACAATGTTTCCAAATGACTTAAACCTGCGAACCACAGTTTGACAATCTCTGTGTGATGGAGTCAGCCATTCGTTCCGCAGATCTTCAAAAGCAATAACGCTAAATTTGTGCCCAGGATTTGTCCGGCGTCGACAGGCTTTTAGAGAGGGTGAGGGGGTGGAAGGGAAGAGAATCAGAGGGTTAAAGACACGCACTGGGGGTCGTTTAATTCAGCGAGGGCAGTTCGCGAGAGCAACTTGACAAACAAAGCAAAATTAGTTCGTCTATTCTCGTCTTCAAGTGATTGGCTGCACTAGTAGCCTTTAAAGGTAAAATAAATGTTTGTCTCTTATACGCAATTGGGGACCATGCAACGAAGGCGTACGGAGAGCGGGTGTATAGCTCCACACATTCGTAACCTTCACATTATATGAAGATGAATGGTAAGCTTCACGCTCCGAACGTTTTATTATAGGTTAAAGCAACTCCAGTCAGTAGCCATAAATTTGACATCAGTAGCAGACAACGAAACAAGACGTTAAAATCAATAGATTTGTATTTTTATATTGACAAATTTAAGAAACTTTACTTAATGTCAGTCATTTTATCGTGGGATTAGATGAAACTGTGACGTCAGTTGACAAGAAAACGGTATTGGAGCCAGTGAACATATGAAGTTTTTTAAGACACGCTGAAATTGCATTCTGTTGCTCTATTTAAAGTAACAAGCATAGAGATAAGGCGTAAAAGCTATTACATTTTGTGTATTAGGAAAGGAATTTAGTTACAATTGGTTGCACCTGGGATGGTTCCCAGCCAATCGAATGGTGGCAATTAGTCGACGCGTTGTAACATCATCAAAATCAACTCCCAAGAGAGCTGCAGAAATAATGATTTGGTAACACGCAGTTTTATTCCCTATTCTGACGGGTTTATATATTTATCTAATGTACCTGTAGTCGGTGATATATTATATCATAAGTCCACAATTTCACGACATAAATTAAATTAAAAACCAAAAAAACTTTCAACTAGATGCCTTTACGTCAACAGATCATGAAAAAAAAATAATGTACACAGCTTATCGTAATACGTTTCTAGACCATACATTTTTCGTTTTGAATGTGATTTATGTAGTTACTTCCATCCTTTTCAGAATCGAACGAAACTGTAAAATTTCCAGGTGCGTTTACAATTTAATTAGAAAAAAATCTGTAACTAACTCCGACTTCGTAGAGTCGAACGACAGGATTGAGTAGGATTCGAGTTTTCCACGGCGTTAAGTCAAA